TCAAGATAATTATTAACCATAAATTCAACTTCAATGCATACATACATATTTCTACACACAATCTAAAATATTTTAACAGGTAAATAATTTGTTTAACTGCATATGTACATATGTAAATAAGTAATAAATGCATATATGTATGTATTTATAAAATTACTTGCTAGGCATATGATATTTACATATGGTATTTATGTGTGTATACAAACACAAACATAGCTATTTATGTATACATATGTATTTAGGTACTTGAAATTCATATTGATACTATCAATTTTCAATTTCAATTCAGTAAGCAAGCAAAATTTAATGCCCGATATTTTGCCTAACAAAACAACTTATAGAATAACCGAGTATACTGAGGTAAAACGAATGTATGACCACATACTAGTGAAATATAATTTTTATATCTACATATGTGTGAGTCACATGTTCCGAAATATCAACAAATATTGACTGATTAGATTTTTTACCGATAATTTTTTATAAAAACGTTTTTTTGAAACGCTTTAAGGCAAGTATTATATATACAAACAGACATATGTATATATATAGTATGCATATACGTATATATACATTCATATATATATATACAAATGCATGAATGTGAACTTTTAATTTTTAATTTAGTTTTTGTGCTCAAAATAGTTTTTATGATATCAACAAAGTAAATTCAGCAGAATTCATAGAGTATATTTGAAAAAATAAATTAACTTTAAAAACAACAGCATGCTGTTAGGAAGAAAGAGAATCATATTTCAATTTCAATCGATGACTGCTTTGTTAAAAACATTCTAATGAAAAAATTTCATTACAAGAAAATAATATAATATTGGCATCTCTGCCTTGACCTAGGTGAATTCATATAGAAATGTGCATTATAAATTAAACCAGAGTTACTCGTTATCCCAAGCGGGACGAATCCAACTAACCACTTTGTTGGTGATTCCATGGCCTGGAAGAGCCAAATAAGCAAACCAACAAACAGCGAAGAACAACGAATGTAAAAGAACCACATAAACCAAATTAATCTACTCATACAAATTCAATACGAGTTATTGCAGGTAATATAGCCGGGCCAAAGACTTTATTGTCTTAACTTAGATGTCTTCAACTAATAACAATCGCATACAAAAGCGTCTAAGCGATAGCTCGGCACATACAAGCGCGTATACACAAGCAAATAACAACGAGTTAAGGAATTTTCACCAAAGTACTTGCTCGCTTATTTGCTTTACTGCCGTCTATCTTAACTTTCAACCTATCCCGGCATTTGACTGGATCTTCTTGCACACACCATCAGCTTCTAACGACGCGTCGTCGTCTTAAGCTCGTCTTTGTTACCTTGGTTAGCCTGCATTCTGCACTATTCGTTCGCTAGCTATTTCCACTTTAAAATGCCTGTAAATATGTATGTATGTAGGCAATAAAAAGTAAATTCAAACAACAAAGACAATTTATAAAATACAAATATTTTCTTTTCAAATTTCGTTTCGTTTCAGGTTAGTTTGTACTCATTTTTCCACATAATCTTATTTTTCACAAGCGTGCACTAGTGTGCGTGAGATGTGCGTTATTTCTTGTATATTTTCTTCTGAGCCTGTTTTTAAACGACTCCAAAATAGGAGGTTATCAACTTAACAGGTATCGACAGTTTTAGTTGAGATTAATGAAAGTAGATATTGTCATTTACTATATTATTGACAACCAGATAAAAATTCTAATCGCATGATGACACAAAAATATTGTCGAGTCTGAAACACTGTGTGGTGTTTTCTTTTGAGTCAATATTTAAATTTATTTATTTTTACTCTATTTGGTATCTAAAAAATATAATTATTAGTTTTATGTAGTGTTTACTATTGAAACTTTTTTAAAACAGAAATGTACTGTTTTTTTTTAAGTGGCAGAAAACTTTGCTTAAATAGTTTTGCAGAATGTTACCGCGTTAACAGTCTTTGGTTAGATAAGAATTCGGGTCCGTCCCGGTTACGTTGACCAAACTGTCGTAAGAACAGTATTTTACTGAAATAGTTTGGGTAGTTTTAATACATAGGATATAAACAAAAGACTTCTTGAAAACTGTATGGGTGCGACTGATTAATGAGGTCCAGAACAGCACATCAGCTAAATACCGTTCGTTCTACAAAGTTCTAATCAAAGTATAGAAAATTGATAGCGTAATTTGATATTATATTTTTATGAAAGTAAACATAAAAACATAAATCTCAATAGTTTTAAATAATTAATTTTTATTTTGTGTTGAGTGTTGCAAATATTTAAATTTAAAAATTTTAGAAATATTAAAAGAAAAATTTAATTTTCAACTCATAAAGTTGAGATTAAAAATTTATTATAAATTGAAAATATAATTTTTAATTGCAAAATCAAAGTTAAAAATTTAAAAGTCAATTTTTTTATTTTAAAATCACAATCTAAAATTGCTAAAGTACTATAAATAGTTTGTAAGTTTGTCGGTTACTGCTCTAGAACATTAAATATTGAATAGTATTTTTTTATTTTTCAATTCTGTATTTGGGATTAGAAATTTATTTTTAATTTATTAATACGGTATTTTGGATTTAAAATTAGAAAAATATTATTTTTTAATTCACATCACAACAATTTTTTTTTATTTAAATGTTAATTTAATTAAATACATTGTAATGCACTATTTGCAACCTTATGTGTGTTGCTCCTTACATGTATAAGTCCTTGCATCGCCTATTTGGTAAATACTTTCAAATACAATTTTTACTTACACATGTTATGTATTTCTTGTTAATAGTTTATATATAACTCTTTCTTATGACTTTTTTGTGATTAAAAAGTAACATTCTGAAACTTTTTGATAATAAAATAATAATCAAAAATTATAATAATATTTGACTAAAAATGCACGATATACATATATTGCTTTGAATTTAGAAGATGTTTAATTTTTTGCAAAGAGGGTTTTATTTCATTTACTACATATGTATGTAGCGAGCTCCGTCGAAGTCGTCGCATTTACTGTTGCCGCTGTCGATGCCGAAGTCAAAGTTTCTGTTTGCATGCTTTAGATAAAAAATTGTGGAATTGTTTATTTTTGTAGCATTCGTAAATTACATAAAATCGTTGAAAGTAATTTATGAAGATTATTGCTGCGACTGTGAATTCGATTGTGTAGCGTACTTGTATACACTGCTGACTACACAACAGTCTATGAAATGTGCGATTTTTCGTTTTATTACTTATTTCCTTCTCCATATTTCTTTAGATGGAATTGTAGTTGAGAAGCAAATAAACGAAACCAAGTAGTTACTTATTAACGAGTTCATTGAAATCATTTCATAGTCATATACACGACCGTATATGAAAGTATGCATATAAATACTCGTTTGTATATAAATATGTGTATTATTTTTCACTTATGTACATATATATGCATATATATACATATATCAGATTTTAAATACAAATTTAGTTATGATTGTGGGTATATACATACATCCATTTAGCAATGGAACAAAACACAAATATTTAATTATCATATACATATTTCAACGTAATAAACTCAGCTGGCACAATCGTTATAATTTTATAGTTCTGATTTTCTAGATGTTTGGAATTAATGCAGAAGTACTTGTAGACTATATTTTTAGAATAAATGAGGTAATTTCAAAGAGGTTATATGGATTTTAATTTCAAGAAAAACCTAATATGAACATTTGAAATTCTCGCGTTTCATGCATTTTATAAAACAGTAAAAACCGATTTTATTATATAAAAAAATTTAATTTCTAATTAGAATTTAATTATAATATTTATTCCGTTTAAAGTAAATTGTACTCTTGATCGCTTTTGAAATTCGTTACGAACTATTTTGTTGCAGCTTCGTAATTTTACTTTCGTGTTTTAGAGCTTAAAGCTCCAGATCTTGGGTTAAGGATTGCATAAGTAACAAAAATGTCTCACATTGTGCCTGAAAAATATTGGACCTGTTCTAGAACTCAATGTCAGAAGCCATTTCAAAGGAAGCACACTTTTTATATCCGGTGGATCTTGTGGAATGCGTCCGTAAATGCTATACAATATGTTATTATCAATACGTTCTACAATTCCGGGATCCAAAATAGGTATATCAAGGTATATTATTTCAAATAATTTAATTTGCTAAAAGCAAATTTTAATTTTATTTCAAGATTCAAGGATCACAATATAATGACAGGCTTTACAGAAAAAAATTAAATATATTTACGCAAGATATTTTTGCTTTATTATAGTTATAATAATATTTACAAGCAAATATTTACGATGTACTTTATTTTAAGAGATAGAAAACACAAAATCGATATGTAGGAGCGCTTGTAATATTCGTCTAATGTGAACGTTTACCATACATACATACATACATATGTATGTACATACATATATCAAAAACCACAAATTATATCAATATTACACAAATTACACATATTCATGTATATACGAATATTCGAATAATAGATTTATAGAACAACTGTAATATCTCTTATTTATATTCTAGAAGCCATAGAAGTATTGTCAATTAAAGCCTTTTTGTAACGAAACGATTATGCTAATATAATTAACTTACAAAAGAGTGTAAACATACATATGCATGTACTGATATAAATCTCTCAGATTATAATTACACCAATATGTTTGTGTAGGTGTACACTTTTAATCAATATTTGTTTCCAATTGCTTTAAAACAAATGAAACAAAAACACGACATGTGCAAATATTCTAATTATAAAAACATACGTATGTATGTACTACATATATTTACATACAAATGGTAAATTCCTGCGAAATAATGAATCTATAAGTATGCACGTTAAAACGTCAAAACATTCAAACGCTTGCATTGAATAAACATAGGTGCGTACCTATGTGCATAAATTAATACTGTACAAGGTATATTTAACACAATTAGTAAATATTTTCGTTAGTTTGTTTTATCGCACTTTAAGTAGCACTATTAAACAATTCAAACTTACTTGCTACTGTGATTTATAGCACTTTTAATCATGTAACACTGCTACAAATATTCATCTAACTGTATTTGTAGCGAATTTGCCAAATTACAAGTTATGACACTGCATAGTGGAATAGTTGTAAACAATCAACACTCAAAGAGCAGAACACAGTGAAACTTAATGCATTTTCAATTCCATTCACTCTAGCACTGACTGAACATAAACACAAGTGATTTAATGCTCTGCAAAATGCAGTGCGATTTCCTGGAGAGCTTTATAGTGTGTTCAATTGTTTCTAAACTCTTATCAGTATGACAGAGTTGCCATTTCTACTGTCCAACTAAATTCAGATTTTCCATATTTCACCCTGTACGGTACAATTCAGCACTAAAGGTGCGCGTAGCCGTAAGCGGGTTAAACCACATGTCTGGCGATAACCTCGGTGGTGTGTTCAGTGCTTTCTTGTGTTTTCCTATTTTAAACAAAACAACTGCGTGCGTACCTGCCAATAGCCGAAGTAAATCATAAATCGGCGCATTTACTAGAAAAACCTAAAATAAAATGAGTAAGGTATGTGGAATTTATGAAGAAAGTAGCAGAAATTTAGTTTTAAATTGCGTGTTCCCATGAATTTAATGAGCTGCCTTCCAATATATCTACCAAAGTTGCCAAACTTTTCAAAAATATTATGCATGACAAATGACAAGGGAATGGTGTTAACCAACCGCTGACAATTTTCTGAAAGCACCGAATTTTTATAGACCGTTTAGTTTATCAACTCGTTAAGCTGTGTGAACTACAAGTCAAACAAAGAGTTTGAAGTGTGTTAAATAATATGTTAAAACACATCCGTTGAAGTTTATGTAGGGTTGTCACTCATACTTTTTCTGATATGCAGCAGCTCTCTTAGTGTAGCCGTAGTTCTTCTTTTTAATATATAAAGATAATTCTCTTAAGTACAAAAAGATATTTATAATAAAATTTTTAATATTTCTACAAAAAATGTTGTCAGCAATTTAAGTCATTTGTCCGTTCGAACTAAGAAATATTACGAAATCCCAATTTACTCATTTCTTCATATTACAAACTACAAAGTTTAAGAATTGATAATAGAACAATACATGTAAATGCTAGGGTATATCCTTTAAAAGGAATATCATATATTAGATATAAAACGATGTGGCAACGCCATGCCGTTGGAATAATATTTGTGAATGTGGTAACATTTGCAAATGCCACCGACGCTGGAAGTGAGCGACGTTTGCGCATTAATTTCCATCGTGAACTTCCAGCCAACAGTGGAAGTTTTTTTTCCATATTGATTAGTTATGTCGCTTTTGTTGTTTACCCATTAATTTTCCTAAAATTGTGTTGAAAATCGAAAATATATAATTAAAAAAAAATACACGTGAAAACGTTCGAGAACAGTGTATCATACGCGGCTTTTCTATATTTTCCAAGCTGACGACGAACTCCACGATTGGTAAGACAGTCGTGAAGCAACCCCAGATGTCCACTGGAGTGGGAGGCGGAGGAAGCAGCATCACTACTGACCACAGCCGATTATATTTCCTCAATTCGCCATCAACACCGCTTTCCGCGCGCGATCCATTTTTTATCAAGCCGGAATACCTCAATTATGAAAATCCCATGCACCACCTCTACCCTAGTAACAGGGGTTTAATCGACTACAACAACTATACAAGCGCTGCAGTAGCAGCGGCCAGTGGTAGCGGTAGTACATCGACAAACGCAGTTGCAGCTGTCGCCGCCCTTAATTTAGAAAATAATTTCCAGCAACCTCAATCACAACAATCGTCATCTTCGTCATCACAACAACAGCAGCAAACACCCACATCGACGAGTCAAAACCAAACGCAGCAAAGTCAACAGCATCCTTTACATCTACACCTCAGCACACCGCCATCGACTCGAGCGCAAAAAGCAGCCCGTCGACGAAGCAACGAATCTGTGGAGGCCCGTCAGAGACGACTAGCACGTAACGCCGCCCGAATGCGAGAAAAGCGATCCAAAGAAAGTGACGAAGAATATCGGATCCGGCTGGCGAAAAATGCGGAAGCGAACCGTGTACGACGTCAGAATGAAAATGAAGTACAAAGAACCCTAAGACTGATGAAAAATGCCGCCAGACAGCGACTGCGACGCGCTGGCGAGACGCCGGAGGAACGCAAAAAGCGTTTGGCCAAGGCCGCCGAACGCATGCGAACTGCGCGAGCAAATGCGCCAAAAGTGTATAAGCCTCCACTGGAGGATCGCCTTAAGGGTTACTAAATATGCATATATACATACTTGTACGTCAACAGGCAGCATCAAATCTATCTCATAATGGACAACAAGAAGGCGTATGGTATTGATGTTATGCACCATGAACCATTAATAAAGACGCAACAAACACAACAATAACCGTTAATAAAGAAGTAGCAACACAAAAACTCAGCTGGATAGTAGGAAAAAAAAAACAAATATAATGCGAACAAGAAAGTTTTGAACAGATGAAAGGATTTGGTCGCACACGCATTGGTTTAAGCTCAGGAAACTTGGCTTACATTGCGCGATCGTATCATCAAACGGTGAAGGAGGCAAATTAAGGTCAACTAACGTATGCCCCTCAACCGCATATTTAATTAAGTTTATGAAATAAAGTATTTTTATAATGCATGCATTACATTAATATAAAATAAAATGTAATAATAATAATAATAATATAACAAAAAAATTGTAGAAGCGTACATATGTAAATGTAGTCGGTCACACAACAAGCAAACAAACAAACACACATACATATATACACACACCAATTAGTTCCAAAAACCACATAAACACAAATGGACGCATTATTATAACTACAATGTAGCACCTATAGCGTTATATCTAAATCTCCAAAAAGATTATTCTAAGCCCGCTAAAAAGCTCCTTAATTAATATCCCATTTGTGCTGATGCTCTTGACACTTCTGTAATTCACACATAGTTTTAATCCAACAAAAATTTAATTCTGTAACGAGATATTTTAATATTAAAAATGCAATATACATATAGTCAAGTTAAACCCTATGTCTCTTTTCATTTTTAATTAAGTTCTAGTCAAAATTCAAGTTTTAACTCCATTTTTTGATGTAATTAAAGATTATTTTTAAATTATGTAATATGTACACTATACTGGAATAAAGTTGCATCAATCACATTTTTAAAGTACTTTAGGGTTCGATCTCTTTGAAGAAATACGCTTGAACAATATGGGTGGCAAATTTCGTAAAACCATTTGCAGCAGGAAATGCGATCATCATAAAGACTACAAATCCATTAATTGGATGTAATCCACGCGCCTCTTCTAGATAAATATAATTCTATAGAATTTCCTTAATATAAAAGTTCGACTATCAAATATCTTATTCTAAAGCATCTAATCTGTTATCTCCTTTTCAAAAGGCACTTTTGGTCATGCACATTTGAAAATCTACATATGTATATACATACATATTTATTCATTTATCTTTAAATTGTATGAGTGTTTGCCCAAATATGCAAATATATAGTTTGCCTAAAATGTTTACAATGTAATGGAGATGCCAGGTAACTTCGATAACTTCCTTTCAGTCCAATTTTATTACGAAAAATTCTAGTAATTCAGATAATTAAATGTATGTATAAATTTGTATACCCTGTAAGGTAATACGAAAACTGTACATATGTACATAGTATATGTATGTATTTAGATATGAGGATGTGTGTACATCTAAGTTTAAGAAAATTCGCTGATCCTCCCTGGATATCGAACATATACGTACATACTTATGTAATAGAATAAAAAAATCATAAAACGGATAAGCTTATTAAAGGTATAATATCGGAAAATTGAAAAAATTGTGCACATATATGTATGTACATACAAAGGTATATGTAGGTGCATATTGGGTGTGCGCATGTATCGCACATATGAAAGCGGATTGGTTGATTGCGTCGAATATATTTAAGAAAACGCTACAGCCGTGGGTACACAAAAAACCACATATGTATGTATCTAGTAATATCCACATATGCGTGCCATACATGTAGATACACATATGTGTACATACTGATGTGTGTATCTATATGTTCGCATTCGTAATTCCAGTGAATATGTGACGTTAACTTCACTTTGAATAAAACCCTCAGTAATTCCCTACACACGAAGCAAGCGTCCATTTGCAAAACCGTGTGGTAACACTGCCCTTCCAAACGCTTGAACGAGTTCCCGGTCGAGGGTGTTCGTGTGTCGATGTGTATCTATCCATTGGAATATATGTATGTATATGCTTAAATACTTCCAATATAGAACGGTCAGAAATTTTTATTCTGAACCGAAAACAAAAGTACTCAGTACAATACATTTTACAATGATCGTGTAGATCATTTTATGTACGTATTTGCTTACAATAATTTCTTCAATAGTCCCAATACATAAATGCAATGTATAATCGGAAAAATATAAATCTAATTAACAAAATTAATTGATCTAAAAACGGTAATATTGGGTATATACTGGATTTTTAGATATTTTACTACTTTCACAAATTTCCACCCATTTTATGCATCTACTTTTACCTTTATAAATTAGACATACTTTTCAACCCGCATTTGAAAATTTTTTTCTAAAGTACTCAGTAATTATCTTCTATTAATAACAAATAATAGAAGTATAATTTTATAAAATTAATAAAACAACTAAAAAATTTTTCTTGGTGTTCTTCCATTTTCCACAAAGCGGCTCGTTCCAATGCTATTTCGTGTATTTACATTTTTTTCGCAAGCCGTTGCTGGTTTTGGCCTCACCGCCTACGGAAATTTTTTGGTTAAATAAAAAATTAAAGTAAAAAATAGTATTGCTGGTAAATAACCTTAAGTAACCGTTTCTATAAAACGGAAGTGTTGAAATTTGTGAAAAGTGACTTAATATAGACAAGTATACAAGTTAGCGCAATAATTATACTAAAAAGTTAGTGAAAAAATAAAAGTTTGAGTTATTAAAATAAAACGTTAAATATAAGTAAAAATTTAAAATAGTAAGAAGAAATAGTTAAGTGAATGAAAATACGATTATGTCGTAAGTGCATTGGAGGGTCCGAGCTAAAATATGTGAAGAGTCTCCTAGAAAATCATGTGAAAAATCGATTGGAAAGTTAGACTGGAAATGTGTGTGAAACAACATCGTTCCAATGTATGGAATATAACGCTGTGAATTGTTTGCTTGAAACTTTTAGTGCAAAATGTCAAAGTTTGACAATCGCCGCCAATAAATGACATCAGTAAGAAAAACTTAGTAAATATTTGCAACAATTGCAAATACGCAAAAGATATAAAAGAATAAAAACAAAAAGTGAGTGGTGGGCATGAAGGTGCGGAGGTGAGGACCGAAAGCAAATAAATGTGGAAGAGCAAGGTGAAGATTTATACAGACGTTCCCAGTTCCTGAGAGTGACGTTTTCGAAATAATGGAATCAAATCCCAATGGGATAAAAATAGAGCCTACACTTGAACAGCAGCAGCATTCACAGTACGCTACACATCTACTCGCATTGAATGGACACAATGCACGGCTTCTTATTGAGCACCCCTCAACGTTGCTGGTGCCATTATCACATCAGCAGCAACAGCAGCAGCAGCAACATCAGCAGCAGCAGCAACAACAACAACAGCATCAATTACATCAGCAACATCAGCAGCAGCATCATTTTCAACAGCATGACCAGCAAATACAACAGCAGCAACTACAGTTAAGCACATTACCGGGTTATCCACAACCTCTATCGCTAAAGCAACAGCCCGCAACAACGCCGGTGCCTGGAGGTGTTACCACAACTCACGGTCCTACATCAGTTACATCGTCAACTTCCTCACGTACAGCAGCACAACGCTGGAACGAAAGTCCTGAAGCCCGCGCCCGTCGTTTGGCACGCAATGCTGAAAGGATGCGTGAAAGGCGTAATCGCGAAAGTGAAGAAGAATACCGGAAGCGTCTCGCCCGGAATGCAGAAGCAAATCGTCTTCGGCGCCAAAATGAGTCGGATATGGAACGAGCCATGCGCCTGGTGCGCAATGCAGCTAGGCAAAGGCTACGTCGGGCAATGGAAACGCCGGAGCAGCGGGGAAAACGACTTCAGAAGCTTGCTGAACGCATGCGACTTTATCGGTCTAATGAGACACAGGATCAGCGAAAAGTACGTTTGGCAGAAATGGCAGCACGAGCACGACAACGCATTGCAAACGAGACTCCAGAGCAACGCAAGGAGAGACTGAGGAAGTTAAATGATTACGCAAAAAAGGTCAGAGAAACTAAGAAAAAATCCAAGCAGGAGCAAAGTGAGAATTCGCAGAATTCGAGCCAATTGCAAAGTACTGCTGCCAGTTCCACTAATGAAAATATCAATTTGAACCAGGCAGCCCCGCAATCAGCAGTCGCAACAAACAACACCATAGACCAACAACAACCCCAGCAATCCAATGACGAACAACTAGCATCTTATCAACCACAGCAGACGGCGTTAACCAATCCCATAGAGTACTATCAGAATATGTTCATGAGTCCGGCAACATTGAGACCTGCTTTACTTAAACAGGAGCAATTAACAACACAGCAGCAACAGCAACAACAATCAATGCAGCAAGGACGTTTTACACACCAACAGCAGCAACAACAAACAATACTAGATTCAGAATCAAATAGCATGTTCCCTCAACAACTATACGATAATGACCAGAAACCACCAAGCGCATCTGGTAATGGCACTGCAACAACGTCTTCTAAGTTGCCACAAGCACATGTACCGCAGTTCAGCACAATTGCCAGTTCCCTTGAATTCTATCAAAACAAGTATATGAAGAAGCAGGAACTTCAGGTAAGTATAAACGATACTAAATAGGTGCGAAAATATTCAAATGTACATGAATATCTACTTGTCTGCCCCATTGTTCAACTAAAAACTTAATATTAAAATAACTTAACCTTAATCATAGTGTCTCTTTTCCAAAATTAAGCGTGTAAAGATTCTAAAAATTAAGATTCGTTCAGTAAAATTGTCTCTTTTAAATAAATAAAACAAAATTAACCCGTGAGTTTTTTAACAAATCTAGTTTAAACGAAGAAATATGATAAACAATGGGATTGGGCGCAATATAAATACATGATTTAATGTATGTATAATGTGATCACGTATACATATCTACCAAAAAGATATACACATACATATATGAACATGTGTAATTCATCGATGCATGCTATAGCAAATGTAAATGAGAACGGAAAAAAGAATTGTTTGACCAAAGTCTGGGTTGGTATAGTATTAGCAAAAAAAATGGACTCAACTGTTCATGAATTTGCAAAAAGAATATAAATTATATACAGGAAGATCTGCAAAAAAAAAAAAGAAATAAATACGAAAACTTGGAGCCATTTTTATTCAACGGCAAGTGTTGGCAACTCCTTATCTAAACGTGATTGCGAACGAATGTTGGTATACGCAAAATGGAGAAAATGAATCCGGTTTTAATGACAATGATGCTTTTTCTTTTTGTACTTGTACAGGGTTGCCGGACTGTTTTATCATTGTGTGTGTTAGAACATTGCTATTTTACAAAATCTATTTGGTAAATGATAGCGAATATCATAATTTCGGGGAGCTTTTGGTATATTCTGCCTACGCCGTTTAACCTGTGTAAATATTTTCAAACATCTGCTTATTGGCCCACAGTAAATATATTAAAATAACTAATGTGTTTGGTTGATGAAGTAATAAAATATCTGTACTTTTAAAATTGGGACACAAGAATCTTTCGTCATACGATGTTGACAAGATACTGTTTGTTGATTAAATTTACGATGTTCATACTGATGGATGCGGCTTTTCAGTGGAGAACACAGTTTGACTTAAAAAATAAAGGACATGTGGTATTAAAAACAAATAAATACTATTTTTTACATATATAAATACTTTTTATTTATATTTGTTTTTATTCGCAGCTTATTACGTTAATTGGAGCCAACAGCGAGTTGACGTGTATAAAATATTAAAATTCTGCATTAGTAAATTATAACCTCTAAACAGGGCACAAGGAAAACGTGTGTGAATGTGTCGTGTTTTGTCGGAATCGGTCTGAAATAATTTTAATCACACCTTTGCTTATATGTTTTATTTCTATCTTAAATAAACAAAAAAAATTAATATTTTCTCACTAAATTATAACCAGTTTATGTATACCTATTGAATCGTTATATACTTTTAGTGATCTGAAAACAAATTACTCTCTAAAAGTAGATGTAGATGTAATATTTTATTATTTCATTGTTCAAATTTACATATATTTCTACAGGATACTATTTTTACTCAAAACATGATTATTATCATGAACCCAATGACTACTGGTAACTCTAAATATGTTTGTAAAATTTTCAATATGGCAACATTGTTATTCCAATGCTAGATACATACCTATTGTGTAAATAAACGTCTTTATCTGGTAGTCGGTTTTTGATACGCTTACATTTGTTCACTTTTTTTTTTGATTTGTCAAAATTGTAAATTTTTTATAAATATTTCTATTTTTGTCTTGCGACCCTCGGGCGGTATGTGGCAGGCAAATAAATATTCAACATTTGAAAAGGATGTGGGTAGCTATAACAATTTTCAATTGCAGACAAACAATCCAACGAATAACAGTGGGTCTGTTGGTGGCTCCAATTTGCAGAACGATACAAAGGTGATCGTAGCATCCACGTCCAACTGTGAGAATCAGAAATTAAAAAGTTCACATCCTCAAATACAAAACCCTCCCACTCCGCTATATAACCAATTTCCTTATTTAGCTACATTTCCAGCTGCTGCAGCAAATTCGGGATCAACCGTAGTGACTTCACCATCCAGTACGCCCACTCAAGCCACCTACTACCCCATGTATCACAATGGATTTCAACTGACTATTCCACCGAATACAGTGCCGCCACCATTTACACCTGTGCATTTCACCAATAATACAACCAACTCGGGAACATCGCCGACTTCTGGACAAGTGGCCCAAGCTGGTGTTGGCGGAGCATATAATTTATTGGCGAATTCATCTATAACTGCTGCTGCGGCGGTCGCAGCTGTTGCTTCAACTGCTACACAACAACAACAAGCTATACAGGATTTTCCAAAACCGGTCCGCGGTCGCCCTAGAAAGGTCATCTTTTCCAATACAGGTACTGGCAACAATGCCTCAACTACTAACAACACGGGAGACTCAAAAAACGGCATTTATCTGCTGCCCACAGGAACCACTGAATCGCCTGAGGACGCTCTACGGCAACAAAAGGTGAGTGCCTTGCTTGAGCAAGAAATAAACCAAATGCTCGCATCACCACAGCAGACACCGCGCCGCGGACGTGGTCAACAACATTCCTCGCCTACAGGCTCGACCCGGGGCAGCGGGCATAAATATGAAACAGATGAAGACAAACGAAGACGATTGGACAAAATGGCAGCACATCAAAGAGAAGTGAGGGCGAACGAAACACCGGAACAACGAGCAGTACGTTTAGCTAAACTATGCGAGAGAGCTCGACTGAAACGAGCCGAAATACGAGCGACCGAATCACCAGATGAACGGAAAGTACGTCTATCCAAACAAGCCGAATATGCACGTATGCGCCGTTTACGGACTCATTCACGTCGTCGCACTGAAGACAGAGCACGCGAACTTTATGAAGAGCTTAAAAAAGATGTGGATATATCCAGTGACGGCAACGACTCCAACGGGAACACTAAATTGCAGCCACAAGATCAGCAACAAGATCTACTTCAGCAACAACAGCAGCAATCACAACAACTACAACAGCAGATGTTGCACTCAAATGAATCCTCCAATATGGTAACCGCACAACTCCAGCAACAGCAGCAACAACAACAGCAGCGTTTCTTAGCTTTAGCCAATTCGCAAGCGCCTCAACAGCAAGATCAACAACAACAAATGTCAGCCTCTAACAATGCATACGGCAAACCGCCGTGCAAAGAATACAATTCACAGCCTGAGAATAATGATATGCTTAAGATTCTCGAACCTATCATCGTAATGAAAACAAAATAAAGCTAACTAATATATAAACAAATCTAGCAAGTACGCATCAAAAACAATACACAATAGTCTATCAATAAAAACCAGTTTATGATAAATACACCTTCACTTTTACACGACGATGACGATTGAAGCCCACGTCTATAAAAACAAAATATAATAATAAAAGCATATAACAAATATACACGTGGTAACAAACACTACAATATATCACCGAAATCACGATAAAATGTCGGCAGCAGTTATTCAAGTAAAATTCTTTTTAGAAATTCAATGATAAATGTAGCAGTAGCAATTGGAATGATAACAATTTGATTAACTATACCTATGAAGGGTATTGCATACATACATATATATTCGTATGTAAGTTTATGTTAGTGCAGTATATCATATACTACATACTAAATGAAATAAATATGGCAAATTTATATACACTAGTAACACTCAATGTATGTAGAGCTCGTGTAAGCATAATATTAATATTACTGTGTAATAAGTATAATAATGATCATGATAAAGTAAAAGTAAAGAATAAAGTCAATAATTTTTTTAAAGTAGATTAAACACACAAATTAATGTACTTATTTAAATCGAGTTCATCTGTACAGGTAGTATACAGTTGAACCTATAGTACGTATGTATGTATATGTATTAGATCTAATTTCATACAAACGTAAGTTCTTACTTTTGTGGCAGACGGAATTACTGATATTTATGTACTTGTATTACAGAAAAAATTTATTAACGCTCATCACCAGGTTTGGTCAGTATACAAAGTTGTAAATTACAAAAAATTTGTTATTGTGTTGGTTTCTGTTAATTGTTTTTTTAGATAACTTTTTTATATCACAAGTTTTTTATTAAAATTATTAAAATCTGATTTTAGCTGGAATTCAACACCTTACACTCCATCGATACGGAGTATTCCGCCGACTCCATAGAATGGTGCCCACACCAGCAATACCAATCCTATTTCGCTTGCGGCACATATCAATTGGAAGAGAATGCTAGCGAGGAAAGCGCAATGCGCACCAGACGAAAGGGTCGCATATATCTATATAGGTTTTGTTCTACCACCAAAGAGCTCACGGAAGTGTGTCGCTTGGAGACAGCTGCCATTCTAGATATGAAGTGGTTAATCGACGGAACGAACGCGAATCCACTACTTGCAACTGTCAATTCGTTTGGTCAGCTAGAAATTTATGAGTTTGAAGAAGATACATTGAAAAGAATCAACAGTTTGGATATAAATTCTAACTATGACGATTTGCTCGCATTGTCACTGGATTGGAGACGTACAGATAATTCCAGCCAATCCAGTCAATTTCAAATATTGGTTTCAGACTCCAAAGGTGGCGTGAATTTAATCGACTATGCACCAAAGTGTGATCTCAAACGGACTAATTGTTTTGATGCACATGGCTTTGAAGCATGGACATGTGCTTTTGATCGTTGGGACTTAAATCGTATTTATAGTGGTGGCGATGATGTACTTTTGCAAGCTTATGATCTGCGCACTGGCTCGCGTATTTTCAGCAACAAAACGCATAATGCTGGCGTCACTTGCTTGCTCAGCCATTCCAAACACGAGCATTTATTGCTGACTGGCAGTTATGATGAGCATTTGCGTACATTTGATACACGCTCCATGAAACAGCCCTTGGGAGAACTGAATCTTGGTGGCGGCATATGGCGTCTAAAGATCGATCCGTTAGAGCGTGATCTCATTTTGGTCGCATGCATGTATCATAACTTCAGCATTGTTCAGCTTAATGGTGGACAGTTGGAGGCACCCACGTTACTTGGCGAATACTACGAGCATAAAAGCATTTGTTATGGAGCGGATTGGTGTCTTGACGTGTCTGTAAATAAAGATTTGTACACAGCAACTTGTTCGTTTTACGATCATAAACTCTGTGTGGCACAAATAGTTGAAGAGCACCATTAACTGTGCGGTTGTAAGTTTTAAGTTACAGAAAAAATAAATATCGTTGCATTATGTAAATAACTGTAAACAGTTATAAAATAAATGAACTTCGTTACCGCTCGGATGATTTGCTGGCGCTTACGTTTAAGTCAAAACTGTAAATCTGGTATTTAGTTGTTCTAGCATTTGTTACTGGCACCTTTTAATTTGTACAAATTTTGAGCATTTTACTGATACTTTGCAATAATTTTGACTTTTACCGATACTAAAAAACATTACAAACAGTGAGTAAGTAGAGACTACTAGCGTTGACATACTTTTTATGGGCTGTTATTTCGACAATCTAACCATTAACCAAATATAAATCTAATGATTGGAGCAGCGAAGTATTCTCTCTTTAAACGGTACTATACTTTATTCAAAAAAGCTTAAGAAAGCATCCAAAGGTCATGGCAACTGCCGGTAAGTATAAGTAAAACTCCATTCATTCTCCCGTTTTCATAAAAGGCGACAATAAATTAACGGTTCGACACTTGGTTTTTTTTGTTGCTACGACAACTAAGTTTCCTCAACACACTTCGAGCTACGACGCTTATTATATTCTACAATTACAAGAAAAGCGTTACCGTCGGTTGCACCGATGCTAAAATACCCTTTATAAATGAAAAGATTTCCATACAAGAACTTAATTTTGAGCGTTCAGTTTGTATGGCAGCTATGTGTTGTAGCGGTTCTATATCGGTGGTTCCGGCAAATGAGCAGTTTCTTGGGGTGAAAAAGACGTAAGCAAAATTTCAGTTCAATATCTTGAAAACTGAAGGACTAGTTCGTTTATATAGACAGATACAGCTCGTCGCGCTGATCATTTATATATATGTATGTATATTTTGTAGTGCCTCCGATGTTTCCTTCTGGGTTCGGGGTGTAAAAAGGCTTTTCGTATAATTAAATTCTACACAGTGTGTATGTTTAGTTATAAATTTTCATTTTATTCAGTTATTACAAAAATTCTGTTCGATATAATAAGAAGTACTTTAAAAATAAATATCTTTCTAACGTAAAGTATATTTTATTCAGAATCCTTTTATCACCAATGTGATAATAGAAATCCTGTGTGGAAAAATAACATAAGAATTATATTTTTTGAATTGTAATACCCTTGTGACAGGTAAGTCTTAAATCGTTTATGAATAATATTTAAATGTATAAATGTATGTATAAAAAGTATAACTTAAAGCTTCGTTTGACTTACACACATTTGCATATGTAAAACCAGTACATATGCTTAGCAATGAACTCAGCACCACAACACACTTACCGGCATATTTGTCCATTCTTTATCAGCTCTAGCAATTGCATTAGTATGGGTGAAGTTTGAACAAGTCCGACATCATTCGAATCCAAATTCACGAGACATTTGAAGAAGAGCGAAGTCATTCGTTGATCGTTTGCCCGCAAGATGGTGGGCGCCATTTGATCCACCACTTTTAAACGAAATTTGTATGCAGTAATATCTATGAATTTCTCGATGTGATCACAAAACATAGTCCAATCGGCTTCCAATATAATGTCTAACAGCACATCTATGGTTGCTTGTGATCTATCTTGACTGTAACTCAAGATCTGTCGGCATGCATTAATTTTATTTAGGCCGCAATATTCCAGACTATGAAATATGGTCGTCAATAGCTTGTTACCGTCATGGTAACGCACACAGTCACGCGCCATATGCAAGAGTTTTATGCGATTGTTTCGCGCCGAGTAGGCACGACAGAACTCGTGCATGTAACGACGAAAAAGCTTTTCATGATTATAAGCAAATCTATATGCAGCATTTAGTTCCATCTCTGAAAATGTAAGCAATATATTCCCGACTGTTTCCGAATCGCGAAATATATGCGAGACTTCGCAGTTGGCGAGCTTAAAACATCGGTCCACTAAGAACGGCAAACACATGACACCAAAAGTCCTCGCAATGACTATTGTGTGCGGACTGGAGTTCTGACCATCACCACTATTACCCGCAAATTCCACATTCCTACATGCAATTTGTTTGTTATTATCAATTGCTTTCAAATCTTTCACATCCTGTTCGTTACTAGATGAGGACGGCAATTGCAATATGTCGCTTATAAGCGGTTTGATGGTAATGAACGCATTTTGAGTGGTGCTGGCAGTAGTTTGAGGCTGGTAAGTCGGTTGCTGTTGCGTTAACGGCGTTACCGCGCACACATTTTGTACGGTGCGTGTGATTTTCTCCAAATTTACAGTTTTGATGGCATCCCGTTCCGTTTTAATTAGCTGCTTATTTAAGGCCGTCGTTGGCACTATGACCATTGGTAATGCGGCTGCTGTGGTCACGTTCTCTTCTGGCCTAGCGTGTTTCGCCGTTGCGGTCATCATTGAGATTTTCGGTATTTTGAACTTTTTTAAAATATCACTCGACACGTGTGTAGCTTCCACCTTGACAACTGTACTCTTATCGTCCACCATTTCTTCATTTTCGTTATTTACCACCTGCTTGTTTTCATTGTTGTCATTCGTGTTATCAGACTTAAAGTCGGGCGCAGTAGCACGATCCATATCGGGACACCGCTCATCATCTGATGAACTAAAAAATGTGAGTGCTTGGCCATTGAAAAGCGTAATCATAAATATATTAATGTTACATACTTAAAATAGGAGGTTGCTAGAGATAGCGCATCGTCTTCCATTTCATCTTCGAAATCCAAGCAGTCATCATCCATTTTCAATTCCATCTCCAGCACAGATAAATTGTGAATTGTATCGGTTTGTTTTGCTTTTCCATTATCTGACACTCCTACAATTGCTTGTTTCTGGTCTGCTTCTAAGCAGTTGTGGTCCGTCGAAACAGCACCCAATTTTTCAGTACACACCTCTAGTAGACCCTCCAAAGATACGTCCGTCGATTGGTTGAAACTTTCATTTTCTTTACGATGATTTCTTTGCGTTAGATTTTGTGCTTCTATGAAGAATTATATTATACAATTTAATTAAAATAAAAATTCTCTGTTTAATAAAAATATTTATATAACAATAAAAAAAAAACATATATATGTATGTGTATATACAAACAACATGGCAAACGTAATATACCATGTTTGAGGTATATGTCTTTAGCTTTAAGTTTCAAGATACGTACATATGTACAAAAACTTTAAATATTTTCCTTGCTTACCAGTTTCTAAAGCACTAGATGCGTTTACACTCGTCGGCTTACAGAAAATGACGGAATCCTCCACACGACAGCTTTCTATTTCATTAACTTTTTCTTCATATAGAAATCATTAATATAAATTAAAAACTTTGTAGGAATATAATTGCATATTGTTAGTATCTCATACCTTCCTCCTCCAGACATACTGCCTGCTCCTTGCCTTTACCACTTTCAATGTTCGCCTTCGGATCAACATTTCCGGTCGACCTTTTTGTTATTTCCGCTGCTTCCTCTGCCATAAAATTGCTAACTGTGGAGTGATTGTTGTTAGTAATCAACGTCATTGTTGATCTGGCTTCCACCTCTACACTGTCGCAAACACTGCCAACTACAGAATTGCCTATACCTGAATCATTGCCACCTAAGTCTGAAAAAAAAGGTACAAACGATTAAAAAAACACAATTAACATTTATACGTTTTCACATTTTTACTTACTGTCACTTTTTTGCGATTCGTTGGCATTATTTTCTACAGTGTTTTGTTGCGTGCTTTCTGCCACAGCATATACGGCGCTGTCCTTTTCTTCATTGCTTTCAAGACATGTCTCATAATCGTAAGTGAACTCCTCGGAATTGCTTTCCAACTGCGGTAGCTGTGGTATTTCTAAATGTACACTAACATTATGACTCGGGTGATCTTCTTCTAAATCAATACTTTTCGTATGATCAGCTTTTGTTGACAAATCAAAGGCGACATCTTCATTGTTCTTAGTATCGGGTTCGTTAGCGTTAGTTTTTTGGCTGGCCTTAGTTGCAGTAAGACATTCGGTAGGTGTATCTAATTGTGTGGCACTAACCAGTCCATCAAATGAAGATTTTAATTTATTTGTCACAAGTGTTTCTGTGTCCACGAATAGAAAATCACCTGAATCTCCGTGTAGTTCATCAATATGATCAATACCACCCATGGTGGAAGAATATTCTGCTCTTTCATCACTATTTTCTGCCACATTTGCTAATTTAGCTTCAGTATTTGAGGTGTTGTCTTTCTTAGTAGCGGAGAGTTCCTCACACCATTGCCCTCTATCACTATCATGACTGCAAGTGGCCACGGAATTACGTTGAGTTAAACTCCCATACACACCGATCGCAACAGTATCAGTGCGCTCGTTCACTACGTTATCATTGACTTTTCTTTGATTTACGGCGTTACCGCTTTCGCCATTTTTTACAACGTTCGAATTTAAATCATTGATTTTACTATTATATTGGGAGTCCTGATTGTAATTGTTGTTGCATAAAGTAGTGTCGGAAAGAATTTCACGGAGTGCAAAGTCACAAATCGGTAGTGTATTGTTAGCAGTGTCCTTAATTAATAATGCTGAAAAATGTTCAAATTATATAGTACGAATTTTATATAAAACAGTATACAACTCACCACAATCTGTTGTAGTATTTTCTGCTGTAGAAGCTGATGTATGTGCTTCGTTGTTGGTTAATTGCATAAAGGCATTGATATTATCTTCAAGGTCAATGAGAGGCATGTCTAGCGCTGCTCTAAAAGAAGCATAATCGTGCGCACCAAAGACACCCTCCGTCGGTTCGTTTAATTTTCCCGCACAATTATTATTAAAATTAGTTTCCAAAGGCGCTATGTTATTGTTGTTCTGAACGGACTTTTGAATTAGTTTTGCTGATTTTAAAGACAAGTCCAGAGGCATTAGATTCTGATTGTCAGTTTCGATCGCTACATTATTAATATCTGTTGCGTTCTGACTATAAGATATTGTAGACTTTTTGGATAAATCCAATAATACATCGGAGACGTGTGCTGGCGGCGGAACTATGGCATTGCTTTGCGATTGTGAGTCCTGTCGCAAAACAGGCAAGGTAGCAGGGGCGTCAAGTACCCGCGCAATTGCATTTCCAGCATCGCCGACATTGTCAATGTAATTTACCTATATTATTAATAACATTAAATATAAATATAATAATAAAAACTGTTTCAAAAATAACTCTAATACCCTTTATATACATAAAATAAATATCAGAAAATATTTCAGTTTAACATTTCGTTTTAAATAAATAATTTTAAAGTAAATAGCATTTTAATTTTTTTTTACATAAAACAAATAAATATATGTAAAAATAAAGAATTTATGAAAAAAAACTTGTTTTCGTTAGTGTAAAAAATATGCATATTCATGAATTGACTAACCAACTCTGCCATATTGAATTCTTCTTGACCACCATCAATGTGCGTATTATCGGTTTGTAAAAGTTGACAATTTCCACCGTTTTCCCAATCACCTTCAAGATAATATGTGATTGGTTGCTGATCACTCGAATCCAAGTAATGAGTCGTGGATGTCACTAACTGTTGCGATATTGTTGAAGAAGCCGCAGGCGTTATAGATCCTGCTATATTACATGTATTGGAAAAAAGTTCAACGTACTTAGCCAAGTCGCTTTTAGCCGTTTCCCCGTTTTCTAAGCAACTTTGTTTCTCTGGTTTGTTTTTCGGTTTTCGACCACGTTTTTTCGGTGGTCCTTTTTCTACATGTAATGATTTTTTCGGTTTTCGTTGGCGTTTTTTCTTTGCTAATTGCTCCTTAGAAGAATCAACAGAATCAGGCACATCCGCCCTATAATTACAGCGCTCATTATTATTGATATTATCAAGTAGATTGGTGGCTTGTAAAGTTTCTGTCTCATGATTTTCGACAAGCACTTGAGAAATCAAACGTGATAACATCGCATCTTCTGGCTTTTCATTAATAGTTTCCATAGTACTTGATGTAGCTATAGGCAATTGCAAATCTTTACATTTATTGCTGTTCAGATTTTCTTTCGAGGGCGCATCTTCTATCTGGTGGCTACTATTCGATCGTTTACGCAACAATTCGTCAACACGACTAGCGAATAATCGTTGAGAAGCATCAAGTTCCCCCAAGTCAATCGAAATTTCCATTTTCTCTGAACCCTTTACTACTTGAGGTATTAAAATAGATAACGACAGCGGCGAATCATCTTTTCGGCCACACTGAGATTTACTTACTTCAGAGCCATTGTATTGGATAGATGTGCTTCTTCGTTTACGTGTTGCCGTACGACGTGGTCTTTGGGTACCTAAATACTCATCACCGCTAGATTCAATAAGAGACATGGCAGGCGACGAAATTATATGGGAATAATCAAGAACAACGTCCTTACACTTTTCTAACATACTCTTTATGTTTGTAAGTGAAGAAACAGCATCTAGTGCAACCAGCTGCACTTTAGGTTGACTTGATTGTAGTTGCATAAACAACCTGTTACGTCGTTTTAATTTCAAGTCTTCACTGTCGAGTCTCAATTCCGGGTGATAGTGGTATAACTGGTCTTCAAGCCGTTCAAGATCAACGATTTTCGCCATAATTATTATGTAAGAAATTTACACCTCTCCGAAATTTCTAAATTTCCACAATTAATAAATAATCCTTGCGGCTGATCATCACACGTTTATAACGGATTATTACTATAAATGGCGCAAATGACGCGTGAGACTTTTACAACAGGGTTGACATTAACGTTAACCGTTTAACGTGGTAATTAATTTCAAATCCGAAATAGACGTTCACAGCTCAAATAGGATGTTACATTAATGGAGAGCTTAAACTGTAGTTGCTTGAATATGTTTGGTAATTTGGAGTAATGAGAAAAACTTGTATACATAAAAATGAATTAATTTATTATTAGGTCATGCAAAAGTGTATGAAATTTTAAATTTTATACATATGAACATATTCATATTTACATTATAATTAATAGTTCGTAGACGGTTGGCAGCTTTTTAATTTCATTAACCGATCGCATCATTATGCGAACGCGTTACCAATTGCATACACAACTGACAGTTCTATTGTCAAACTAATTGAAAGATTTTGGTTACATCATTTAGTTTTTGTAGACATCATAATTTTGCTAGAAAAACATTGTGAAAAAGTTTGTTTCAAAAAGGCAATATTAATTAAATAATTTGGATTTTATATAAGATTATCTGAGGCAGTCTGGCTCGTGTTAATAGCAGTGAATGAGCGAAAGACGCGCCTAAAATGTCCGAAAACAATCAGGTTAGTTGAGTTCTTCATTGCTTCGTACAAATTTTTTCGTGTGATGAGTGAGTGCCGCTGATGCCAATCTTGTGTTTTCAATAAAGCTTCAAGTTTGAGACTTTTCTAACGTCGTAGTATTCACATGAAACATGTGTTTGTAGACATATGTATGTATATGTGATTATGTGCTTAAAAAATATTTGTTTTACATATTTATTTACAAAAAAATTTCCACGAATTGAAACACATGCCTCATTTTTAATGCATTTGTACTTACATTCTCACATACATGTTCATATATGTATATTTAAAAAAATAAATAAAAGTAGAAATTATTTCACTCTTCTAATTGATAACCTAATCTAATTTGTAGTCTAAATGCACTTTTAATAGGCGAAATTATTTACATAGTTATTGTTTCTTCGATAACGATTAGAGTAAGACCAATATGATTTAGTATGTATTTATAGAACAAATTAAGACGCATTACTGCTTAGCTTTTATTTTTTTATTTGTTATTTTTTTTTAACTTTATATGAAGTTTCCAAAAACATACATTTATTTACTTATAAATATCTAGTTATATATATTGAATTATTTTATTTTTGTTTGTCTTGTTTTCAGCCACTTATTAATTGAGTATCCAATCAACTTGGTTTACACACTATTGTGCACCTTTCACAAAATAACACAAGACACATTCAGATTTTTGACTCAAATAATATCGAAGTCTTTCAGTCTTTGAAAAACTGTTCGGTATTGATAAATTCATAATATATTTCAAAAGTCTTTGATTTAATTGTTTTGCCAGACGTTTGCAAATAAAACGAGATATTTTATTTCGATAGATATTTTGTTTTTCCGGTCGTACCTTTGTTACACCTATACTTGTTTACGTATGTACATAGATGCAAAATATAACGGCTTGTAAAGTATTTAAACGTAGAAGGATATCATAACGTAATTGCATTGTTTATATTAAGAACGTTTTATTTTCGTAATAATGGCGGCATATTTGAATCGCACTATATCGATGGTGACTGGAAATGGCGCCAATGCTAATGCAAACGCCGGCGCAACAACTTCGAACTATAATCCGAACGCTCTGATGGTTGAAAATCGTACCATGCAAAATGACAAATCACCGTTGCAGGTCTTCGTAAGAGCTAAGAAGAAGATCAATGACATCTATGGCGAGATAGAGGAGTATGTTGTCGAAACAACACAGTTTATTAATGGTAAGTGCTCTGCCATAGCTATTGGAGTTAGAATAATTATTAAATATAAAATTCTTAGCTCTGCATGCAGAAGCAGAAATTGTGGACAAGGCGGAACGTGAACTTTTCGAGAGTTATGTACATAAAGTGGCCGCGATACGTGAGGTACTCACAAGGGATCACATGAAGGTCGCTTTCTTCGGACGCACATCGAATGGCAAGAGTTCCGTAATTAATGCCATGTTGCGTGAAAAAATTTTACCAAGTGGCATCGGTCATACAACAAACTGTTTTTGCCAAGTTGAAGGCTGTGATGGCCAGGAAGCATATCTGATGAAGGAAGGCTCGGATGAAAAACTGAATGTAGTGGTAAGTTGCAGTTATTTTGTTTTTTAAATATATTTTTAAAAATGAAAACTTGCGTTTGTGTCTGCAGAATATCAAGCAATTAGCAAATGCGCTTTGCCAGGAGAAACTTAGCGAAAGTTCACTGGTTCGCATTTTTTGGCCTAGAGAGCGTTGCAGTTTGTTGCGTGACGATGTCGTCTTCGTGGACTCCCCTGGTGTGGATGTATCAGCTAATTTAGACGATTGGATTGATAATCATTGCATTAATGCCGATGTATTTGTGCTTGTTTTAAACGCTGAATCGACTATGACACGCGCCGAAAAGCAATTCTTTCACACTGTCTCGCAAAAGCTGTCGAAACCGAATATTTTCATACTGAACAATCGTTGGGATGCATCCGCTAATGAACCTGAATTTCAAGATTCGGTATGTAGACTAAATTTATATGTATTTAACAATTTATATTTCATGTAGTCTGTAATTGAGTTTGTAAATTTAACTCTTTTTCGTTAAAATATGTAAACTGTTAATGTTGACTGCGTAAGCAGGAGCTCGAAAAGGTAAAAGTTTTAGAATGCCTTTGCCATCTTTCATAGAACCATATATGTATATGTATATATGTACATACAGAAATATATTCGACTCAGTATATATGCGAAATTTTCACGGATAATATATGAATTGTTAATCATAATGCAACTTGATGTCGTTTATTTATTTATTAATTTTAAATAATAATCAAAAAATTATGCTGAGTCGTCTGCGTATCTATACGAAGAGCTTTTTCACATCATTTTTTATTATATGCGCATTTTTTCTTTTCATACGCTTTATTATCACAAATTATTTACTTAATGAATATATAATTTTAGGTTAAGTCGCAGCATACAGAGCGTTGCATTGATTTTTTGACGAAAGAGCTGAAAGTAAGCAATGAAAAAGAAGCAGCCGAACGCGTATTCTTCGTATCAGCACGGGAAACTCTTCAAGTAAATAAAAAGTCATAATATTTTTACACAAACAACTACTGTATATAAATAACTCTTTATAGGCTCGTCTCGAGGAGGCCAAAGGCAATCCACCACATTTGGGCGCCATCGCTGAAGGCTTTCAGGTGCGTTACTTCGAATTCCAAGATTTCGAGCGCAAATTCGAAGAATGCATCTCACAAAGCGCCGTCAAAACTAAGTTCGAGCAACACAGCTCGCGTGGAAAAAGTCTATCCGGTGACATGTGCTCCATGTTGGATAACATTCATGAGCGTACAACTATATTCAGAAATTTGAAAATGGATCAAAAAACTCTACTTACAGAGCGTATACAAGGCACCGAAACGCAAATGATGCAAGTGACCAGAGATATGAAGCTCAAGATACACAACATGGTAGAAGAGGTGGAACAAAAGGTGTCGAAGGCGCTCAATGAGGAAATTTGGCGTTTGGGTGTACTAATTGATGAATTCAATATGCCATTCCATCCGGAGCCTCTAGTATTGAATATCTACAAGAAGGAACTCAACTCGCATGTCGAATCTGGTTTGGGTTCCAATTTGCGCGCTAGACTCTCCATGGCATTGGCAATGAATGTGGAGGCAGCACAAAGGGAAATGACGGGTAAAAAGCTTGGCGCAATTGCTATATTTTCTAAAATGCACTTATATATAATTTACTCACAGATCGCATGTATACTTTGGTGCCAAACGAAAAAGTGGTCGTTCAAACGAAAATCGCCACACGCACACAACCCTTTGAAATGCTATATTCACTCAATTGCCAGAATTTATGTGCAGATTTTCAGGAAGATCTCGAGTTTAAATTCTCCTGGGGCATTACAGCGATGATTCAGCGTTTCACTGGTAAAGTCAGAGAACGCAATAAGAAGGGACCGGCAGTACTCTTAAATCGGCCAAGCAGTATTGGCGTGAGTAGAATTAACTGAACTAGGCATAAGGTATTTGTCTTAAATAAAACTTCACATACTTTTGCAGAATTTATCACCTTCAACACCGGGCACCGATACACCGTTATGTCTGATACCACGCCCAGTGGGCGGCATTACACAGGAGCAGCTGTCTGTTATCTCACGTTTCGCTTTGGCGTCTGTGGGCTCCCAGGGTACCGTAGGCGGTCTAATTGTGGCTGGAATTGTATGTATAGATGTGCATGATCAGATTTTTGCCTGCTTTAATTATGTAATTTCCTAAATATTTCCCAACGACAGATGCTGAAGACGATCGGTTGGCGCGTATTACTCGGTGTTGGTGCGCTTTATGGTTGTATATACTTTTACGAACGCTTGTCATGGACTAACTCAGCGAAGGAGCGTTCATTCAAGTCGCAATATGTGCGTCACGCCACCAAAAAGCTAAAAATGATAGTCGATCTAACATCGGCGAATTGCAGCCATCAAGTGCAACAGTAAGACTTATTTTTTATGCGCATAATTGTTTCAATATTTCTATAAATTTGTGAAATTTCACAGGGAATTGTCTAGCACCTTTGCGCGCCTCTGCCGTTTGGTGGACAATGCCACAACCGACATGAACGACGAACTCAAAAGCCTTGAATCGCAACTCACTGTTCTTGAGTCGAATCAGAAGCAGTTGAAATTGCTGCGCAACAAGGCCAACTATATTCAAAACGAATTGGATATTTTCGAGAACAACTATATTAGGATAAATTAGCTATAAATTTAAAATGGAAAAAATAGTGCATGCGCTCGACACTTTCAATTTTTGCATGGATGTGTAGTGAAATTTAAAGCTATAAAGCCAATAATGTTTGTTTAAGATGATTTATACAATTTACAGGCTGTTTCAATAATTCGTGTCAGTTCGTCGGCGTACAAATGTACAATGCTGATTACCTTTTACATGAATACTATTATTTTGTTGACCTTTCATCAATCATAAAATCATATTTAACTTTATTCTGCAACTATCATATGTATT